TTACGCCTTGCGTTTTGCGTCCCGGTGTGCACACTCACATTGGTGCCCTTTGTTTAGTCACGAGGCGTGAACAAACCTTTAATGGGCCGCATTTCAGTCTCTATTTCATATTCATCCCGTTGTTTTACAATAGAAACAGAAAAATATACCAGTGAAAACTGTTTTATTGAGAATTTGGCTGCATTGAACAGTTTGTGAGCACTATCAAATTTAATTTTTTGCAAGTGCAATGCACAAAGAAAAAAAAAATCACAAAGACTTGCGAACCCAACCATGCATACACACACAAAAAAAACACCAGCGAACAGGTATGGTACGGGCAAAACATAAGAGCAGTGAACAGGTATGGTACGGGCAAAACATAAAAGCAGTCAAGTAAACGGGCGTGGGTCGATCGACGGTGAACAATATACAACAGGGCAAGGCAAAGAGAGATAATCCAGGTACACAGCAATAATCCAGTCAGGGGCAAACAGAGTCCAAACGGCAAAATGAAGGGGGTAATCCGAAATACACAGGCGAGAATCAAAACACAGGAAAAACAGGCAAGGCAAGACTATGAATAAACTGGGAAAGATAGAGCAGGCTCCGTAAAGTAGCTATCAACTAAACAGTGATAAACGCTAAACAATACTGGGCAACTTGAGCAGGATCTGAGTGGATGTTATATAGTGAATGTGTGATTGGTTACAGCTGTGTGTGTGTATTCAGTGCAAAGGATTATGGGAACTGTAGTCCGGAGTGACGTAACAGTCTGTGTAGTGTGAGAGTCAATGTAATGGAAGAGCGATCTCTGGTGGCGAGCGGATGGAAGTCCATGGACAGGATTCGTGACACAAGCACAACCATGCACATGCAAACAAACAATACACTTTCACTCATCCACGCGCACACACAAATATTAATAAATCGCACTCACTCAAATCACCTCTCTCTCTCTCTCTCTCTCGCTCTCTCACACACACACACAGATTAATAATGTACATTATAAACAGGTGCAAGGTTTGTGTGATTCAATTATTAATATTTTTTCTTGTTGTTGTTATTCTTTTGTTAAAAAGGAAGGATCTAACTTAAGGATGTGTTCATGTCCCATAAAGGTGATGCCTGTTTGAAGAATGCCATTGGTGGCATAGAAACCACTTGAATTGTTTAATACTTTTTCATGGTCTTCTGCAATGTTTGAGGCATATTGAAACAGCTGTACCTAAATACTTTTCATGCTTTTATGTTGGACTAATTTCAGTTACATTTACCTTTTAGGCTATGTAGTTTTAAAGGGGTGTAGTTTTGTTTCTGACTACAGTAATTTATTGTAAAATAAAACCTGTAAATTCCTGGCAATTTTTTACAGTGTGACACTGAAGACTAATGTCTGCTGAAAAATTCATCGTTGCATCACAGGAATAAATGATATTTTAAAATAAATTAAAATAGAAAAGAGTTATTTTAAATTGTAATAATATTTCACGCTATTACCGTTTAGTCAAATGAATGCAGCCTTGGTGAACAGAAGAGTTCTGAATCTTTGTTTTTTTTTGTTTTTTGTTTTTTTTTAAGCAAATGAAGTGACTTACTTTGCCATTGTCTTAATGCAGTGAGCATAATATTGCAGGGATGTTTATCATGGTTCAACATACAGTACATTATTTGGCCTGATTTGTCAAAATGTTACTGTGTTTGTTGCACTGTTAACACTGTGAGCAATGCAGTAAATTTAAAACACTAATGTCATAATCAATGAAACTGCATGATAGTTGTCATTGTTTACACAGTAATATTATTTACAGGCAGAATGGCACAACAGTACATGTCACAGACAGCGAACTGAACTTTAGCCTACATGATCTGGAGTATACGTGTACAGTCACCTCTCTCCTCATCTCTGCTTTTTGCTCCTGTACACTTACTTATATTAATATTGAAGAACAAAAATTTGACGCACTTGTTGATTAATCATTCAGGCTAAAAATGATGACTTTATAAGGGTACATTATTTATTTATTTGTTTGTTTGTTTTTCTGAGTAGTTTTCAATGCTGTGAAATGTCCATTCTACTAACTTTGAACATCTTTGCGATATTTGCCCGCTCTTCTTTGCAGAACTGCTCAAGTTCAGTTCAATTTGATGGTGACTGTTTGTGGACTGCAGTCTTCAAGTCATTCCACATTGTATGACTGTATTGGATTTCCACTAGACATATCGTTTGGTGTTGAGGGCAAAAAAAAATTCATTTTAGTCTCATCTGCTAAGCTCAGTTGTGACTGCATGTGGCCTTTCTTGAGGAGTGGCTTTTTTTCTTGCAACCCTCCCATACAAGCCACATTTGTGGAGAATGTGTGATATTGTTCTCACATGCACACAATGACCACACTTTGTCATAAATTCCTGCAGCTGCTTCAGAGTTGCTGTAGGCCTCTTTGTCGCCTCTCTGACCAGTTTCCTCCGGCTCTTTCATCCAGTTTGAAGCAACATCCTGATGCAGGGAGGGTCTCTGTTGTACCAAATACCTTCCACTTCTTAATAATAGACTTCACTGTGCTTCTAGGTATTGATAAAGCCATTTAATTTTTTTTGTATCATCTCCTGACTTGTACCTGTCCACAACTTTATCCTGGAGATCTTTTGACAGTGCCTTCCAACCAGGGCCGGATTTACGGATAGGCATTCTAGGCACGTGCCTATGCTCGCTCGTCCAGGGGGGCCCAAACACAATGAAGAGATATATAATATTTTTGTTATACTATGGGCTATCTACAACAGTAAAAGAACCAAAACCCGAGAAGACATTGAGCAAAAAAATATAACAAACAATAGGGTAAAAAAATGAGAAAGTATTTCCATGTCTTCTGCCTTTTTTATGTTGGCTACGGAAATCACGCTTTCTTTCTCCCTCCCGTTCTCTCTCACAGACGCACACACAGTACAGACACACGCGGAAACGCGACCAGAAACTTGTCAGTGCTGCCCCGCGAATTTATCAATAAAATAGTTTCGCAGCTGAAAAGCTACATGACATTTCTCAGTAGCGAGGTTCTTGAAGCAGTTTAACTTAAAGATTAGCTATTAGTAGCTAATCTGCTGCTGAACTCTGCTGAGAGACGCATAGACGCAGGTATTCACACGCGCTTAATCTCTCTCTCTCTCTCTCTCTCTCTATAATAACTGCATTAGACTGCATTAATAACTGCATTAGCCTGCATATCAATGGCTCAAGCCTCTGTTATTAGCTCTAAAATGACGTTTTGGAATTTGCATTGGAAGGTTTATCATGTTGCGTAAAAAATTAGTTCAACACACACGAGATTTCAGGACGGAAACATGACAAATGTCTTGAAATAAATCATCTTAACAATGTCTTGATGTGTGGTTGTGACTCCTGGCCGTTAAAATTATTTGCAAACGCTTATTGCGATTTCAACCGAACACTGTAACGGTTTCCACTGATTAAGAAATATTTTTGTTTGCTTGGGTGGTAGCTAATGCTAGGCCTATTATATTAATAGGGAAGGGGGGGCCCTTGATTGATTGCTTCAGTTGCACTACCAAGGATTGAAAAAAAGGTGATTCTTTTCTGTACCCACTGTACTGGTGAAATCTGAAAAGTAATTGCATTAATGTCATGATCGCTGATACTTCATGATCGAAGACTGGCCTATCTATGTGCTGAGCTGATAATAAGTGTGATTTGTCTCATGGTGACAGAGATCAGATGCAGCATAAAGACACTTATCTACTCTGAGCTAACTTATCGTCATGTGCCCTATACTTTCAGCAGTGTTACAGTGGCAATGACAAATCCACAAATGCAAGTGAAACAGTATTACTTGCCTCCCTCCTGACACATCACTGCCATACTTTGCTATTTTATTGCACATGGGCAACAACATTTTTATGAACTTAAACTATCATGCAAAAGTAAGATTTTTTTTTTAGAAAGAAATGAATACCTTTAATCAGCAAGGATGCATTAAATTAAATTCATAATTCATCCAAAGTGACATTAAAGACTTCCATATTGTTATAAAAATACTTCAAATAAATGCTGTTCTTTTGAACTTTCCTTTCGTTAAAGAATCCTGGAAAAAAATGCATAAAGGTTGTGCTGCTTAAAATATCAACGTTTTCAACACTGATAATAATAAGAAATGTTTCTTGAGCTGCAAATCAGCATATTCGAATGATTTCTGAAGGATCATGTGACACTGAAGACTGGAGACTAATGATGCTGAAAATTCAGCTTTGCAACACAGGAATAAATTCTATTTTAAAATATATTACAACAGGAAACAGTTATTTTAATCTGTCAAAATATTTCACAGTATTACTGTTTCTATTGTATTTTTGAACTATTTTTACTATTATTTAATTGGTACTTTTTCTTGTAATTGAAAAATAATGCAGCCTTGGCGAGCATGAGAGATTTCTTTCAAAAATATTTTACAAATCTTATCGACCTCAAACATAAAGTAAGACTTTATATTAAGTCTGAGACCAGTAGTGAAAATGCTTATATTTTGTATGTTTAATAAAATATTTTAATTGCAAATAAAACTACTAGCATAAAGCGATTTGAGTGATAAGCTGAATTAATAAAATAAAATAAAAATCAGATTGACATTTTTTTTTTTTTTTTTTTTAGTATTTGGTTTGTTCCCCTTTTGGTTCAATCCCAGCTGTTATTGAACTCCACAAGTTTGTATTGGACTTTAGACTAGGGAATGTTCCAAAGAATGTTGAAAAGTGTTTTAAACTTTAGAATTCTAATGCACAATAATTCCACAAGATTATTTGAAAACTGCTGATTAAACTAGTTATGAGGAAGTATAACATGACAAAGTGTGGGATACTGCTTTCACAGCTTTAAAATTTCATGACACCTGCAATATCTACACAACTTGTCTGTATCTTTCTCTCAGACCATATTAAATGCTGACACGAGTACATCCCCTTAATAAAGCCCACCCCTTTTTTCAATGAAGATAAAGGGACTTATCAGAAGAACTCTGTTCGTACAGTTCATTTGATCACTCACACCGCAATAAAAGGCCGTGGCTCACCTCATTCTACTCACACGACCTCCAGCTTCACAATGCCGGCTGATTTCAATGGAACGTGGGAGATGGTCAGCAATGACAACTTTGAGGATGTCATGAAGGCTCTGGGTATGTGATTTCTTTTACTGAATGCCTGCTGGAGTCCTAAAGTTATCAACAGGAGCATTTACACACCAGAGATGCAGATCAGGCTCTTATATCTACATATAGGTTATCTTGTTCTTAGCGGACAGAGTTCACCGTAGCCATGCATAAATGAATGTGCAATTGCTGCGAAGATGATTTTGTGCAAAATAACAGAGGTAGACATTTCATGTCTGTTTCTTGTCTTTTTTTTTTTTCATTTTGCAACAGATCTGAATGCATGCACTCACTTCATATTTAAGACTTTATAGGGGTTATTATCATTAACTACAACTAAAATAACAAAAAATGCATTACTTGACATTAACGATTAAAATAAAATATAAAAACCATAAACTTGAAAATGAAAATGCAGTTGTTACAAAATCTCAGGTTAAAAAAGAGGATATAGCGCACAATAGCGGTGTAAGACGTTTCATGCATCATGCACTGGGGTTGCATACATTTAGAATATTCATTTTGCAACAGATTTTATTGCATTTATTTTCATTGTGCTTAATAGTAATAAAAATGCTGACCAGGCTTTTGCAGCATTTTTAGACCACTTGAGATAAATAACTAAATAAATAAAATCATTGTTAATTAATAAACGAATTTAAATGAAGAAAAAACTTTGAGTATCTTGTGCAAGAAATGAATCAATAAGTGGGTTGCTTGTTTCAGGGTCAAAGGTCATAGTATCTTATCAGGAGATGAGCGAACTTGAACACTTCGGCCACCTTTGTCCCAGCGTATGAATATTTCTGTCAGTCTGTTGCATCACAGGATGAAATATAAGTGATTTCAAAGCCTACTTTTGATACTTTCACACATTCCTACTTGGATCGTGCTGATCTTTCCTTTTTGAGACTTTTATATATCATTCTATTCCTCCCCTACAGACATTGACTTTGCCACCCGTAAGATCGCAGTGCATCTCAAACAGACTAAGGTCATTGTGCAGAACGGAGACAAATTTGAGACCAAAACACTCAGCACCTTCAGAAACTATGAGGTCGATTTCACCATCGGCGAGGAGTTTGAGGAGCACACAAAAGCCCTGGATAACAGAGTTGTCAAGGTAGGTGTGCAAAATGCAACAAAGTCCAAACCAGGGTCACATCACGCCTGTGCTGTTGCTGTTTTTCCCGTCTTGTTCTGACTTCATCTGCAATAAGAAAAATATATTATAGTGGGATGCAGTGACGGTAATACCATGTTACTTTGTTATAATATTCTTTAAAAGATTTATGTATTTGAGTTGCATATAAAATATACATCCATTTGGACGACACAGTTTTAACATAAACTAATAAACTTAAAGGTGCAGTAGGAGATCTTGGAAAATGCTAACTTTAGCCTGATAGCACTGAAAGCGAACGTCCCACCCTCCCTGCAATCGCCGTCCAAAGCCACGCCCCCTGAACGCATATACGCTCACAGACCAGAATACCAGAGACAGCATATCTACAATAGGCTACATCAGCGGTTCCCAATTCCAGCACTTGTTCCGAAGTGAAGTAAACTTCAACGGATTTCCTCCGCTCAGGGAGGAGGGAGCAATGAACTCTTGTGTAGGGATCATATCGATCGGAACACAGTTCGTGCACGTAGCACGTAGCTCACTTCTAATGAGTTGGTTATCTGTAGGGCTGGGTATCGTTCAAAAATGTTCGATATCGATACCGATACTTGACTTCGATACCGGTTCCTGAACGATACTTTTTTCGATACCAATTTTATGAAATCAGATGAGTATCCTGTCTGCGCGAACTGGGTGCGCAGAGGTATGCTAATACATACGTTGACAGGCAGGTAGGAAAGCATATTAAAACGCTCGGACCGAGCGTTTTGATTGGACGAACAGTTCTTGGTCCTACGCCTTCCACAGAATATATAAATACAGATAAATACATTTAGACCACTTAACTTAATGATTGCTATCAGGATGTGAAGAGACTTTCAACCAGCATAACAAAAAATGTTTCTGAAGACAATCACCTATTGCACCTTTAATGTGATGCATATTTGATAGTCACTCATAAATGAAGGTAAGAATTTCTGTAATATTACTTTAAAAAAAACTAAATGTATTTTAAATAGACAATAACCAGGTTTATATAGTCATCATCATCAGTAAAGCCAATTTCTTTTAATCTCATACATTTGAACTAATTAAATATTGCTTATTCCACAGCTAGCCATGTTATAACAATATTCATACTTTTAACTGAATAAATGTAATTGTTGATTTATGCTGATACTAAGCGGTCTGAATAAATGCATTTTGAAAACATTATTAATTAAATTAAATTAAATTAAATAGTTACAAGTAGTTAATAATAAACTGCCATGATTTTTGTGTGTGTGTGTGCAGAAATCGGTTTCACAAACATGCTTTACATTAAGTTTATTACATTTGTTTATAAAGGTGTGTAATCCAAATGAGTGGAAATTGCAATTCAAATAAAAAAAAATCTTAAATTTAGGCCTAAATATATTTGAGTGCATTGTTATGAATGATAAATGCAGTATATTTGCTGCTTTAATGCACTTGGGGTTCTAGTTCAAATTTAAGTATAATAATAATTGGCTCTGAATGTCATGAAGGTGCAGTTCAGGGTCCCGTACGTGGGTGGGGGTGTCCCCATCTTTTACACTGATTAAAAATTGAAATATTTCTTTTCAGACCCTTGTGATATGGGATGGTGATAAACTGGTGTGTGTGCAAAAGGGAGAAAAGGAGAACCGCGGCTGGAGGCAATGGATTGAAGGAGACCTGCTTCACTTGGTAAAGAACATCCTCAGGCCACCTGTTCAAGAATAAAGGGACAAGTCAATAAATGAGGCAACAAAGGGAGAAATACACGTTTACGCTTATGGCGAACTATGATACTTTATTATTTACCACTGAATTATCATTATATAAATGTGCCATTCTATTTGCAAACGTGACACCCGAAGGTCACTGTGCATACAATACTATGGAACGTTTTGTAATAATTCCAATTCGGCACTTTTTAAGTGTATATTCATAAATATTTTAGTGTATATGCCCATGCTAACCCCCCTCTCTTTTTAGGACATCTACTGTGAGGACAAACTCTGCCATCAAGTCTTCAAGAAGAAAAACTAATGCTCCATAAATAACTGGATATTCCCATCTGGGTTTGGTGTTATGCTGTGTATATTTATTAAATCAATTTTAATGAACAGCTTCAACCAAATACACTCATTTGGTGCTCCATGTTTGAGAATTTCAGTGTAGCAAATAAAGGTTTCTGATAATCTCAATGTTAATTAATAATTATTAATAACTCCCATCAAAAGGTGTATAATGCAATTTAATGATAGGTGTGTTTTATTGAGACCAGTATATCAAAGTTCATATGATTCATATCGTTTGATTTAGCAAGAAATGGGTGTGGATGCACTATTTCAGACCAAGTCATACTTATATGAATGTAAACTTGACCCTCTCAAATGTGATTTTGCTAGGCAAAGGATAATATTTAATACGGAATATAAACATATTAAAAAATATATATATATATTTTTCAAAGAAATAGTGATGATATATTGGCATAAAAACACATTTAATAATCAAAACTGAATGGATGTGGAGTAGAAATAGTGGAGCTTTAGTTTAGTTTAGTTTCTAAAATTACTGTTTGCATTAAAAGTTATGCGGCTTATCTGCAACATAAAATCCATCAGTGACTTTTAAACATAACATTCATCCACTTGTGACTTTTTACTAGCTTTTATTTGTCTTGGAAAAGGCGTTTGCTAACAAATGACTAAATGGGACTTCAGAGGTTCAGCCTCGCTGTGTTAATAATCGTGCTCTTGCAAACTATTCCAAGTCAAATTTTCGGGATAAATTGTTGGAAAAGTCATGTGACCTTATACTTGTATATGTTCTGCCTATTGTATTAAGGCTTCAAAATGTATAAAAGTTGTGAAGGTTATCATGATGAACAAATAGGTGTAAGAATCATGTTGATCACAGAGCTTAATTTTTGCAATGATCAATGGGGGAAAAAAAAATCCTATTGGGATTTTGCTGAGTGAACCGGAATGGCACTGCATTCCAGGTTGGCCTACAAAAGTGTGTCATCACTGCAGCACTAACACACTTGAACAAGGTAATTAAGGTCTTCAGGATCACTTAAAAAAAAAAAACTGTTGGAGGATGTTGGAGTTAAACAGAACGTTGGTCCTCCAGGAGCCGGACTGGACAAGGTTTGGCTGAGTTAGACAGATTCTTATATTCTGAAACTTTGACTCTTTGCTGCCCTCGACTGTCAAAAAGAGTTTTCTTATAGCTTTTCAAATATAAATGGGGAAGAAAGTTTTTACTTGATAAAATTTTTGCATTTTACAATCTGTAGTGTAATGGGGTTTTATGTTATATAGCCTACTGTAACAGTCTCTATATGCAGACATGAATAGAATTAAATAAAATAGAAAGTGCTTTAAAACAACAGTGTAACCATTAGGTCCAAGTGTTTTGCTCAATAATAGAATGTGACATTCTTTGATATAGCCCTGTAACGGGGCGAACAAGACGTGCGGATCCAAATGCAAAGCTTTATTCAGAGACATGATATGAAACCGGCAGGGTCAAACAATGACAAACAGGTATATAGAGGGCAAGACGAAAAAGTAATCCATATACTGGCGTGGGTCAAACTATGGCAAACGTAATCCAGGGGGCGAGGCAAACGGGTAATCCAAAAAACATGCAATAATCCAGGCAGGAGCGAACAGAGTCCGAAACGGCAAGACAAAGAGATAATCCAAGGCAGGCGATAATTCCAGGGCAGGCAGCTGACAGACAGGACGAGATAAACAGACTGGAATCAAGACACGAGTATAACAAGACTAAACTAGATTCAGAAAACTAGGACAGGGAACTGGCTCCGTAAAGTGCTACCACTTGGAGAGCGATAAACGCAAACAATACTCGGCAGTTTGAGAAGGATCTGAGTGGGTGTAATATAGTGTGTGTGTGATTGACTGCAGGTGAGTCCAATCAGTGCAATGTAACATGGGAAATGTAGTCCAGGGTGTCGTGTAACAGTCTGTGTGATGTGAAAGTCAATATAATGAAAGGGTGACCTCTGGTGGCAATCGGACGGAAGGCCACGGACCGGATTCGTGACAAGCCCGAACACAAAACCTTGTCATTTTTAGCCCCTAAAGCAAGGACACCACATGCTTAAACTGATGTGTCACCTGTTCAGCATACTGACCATCTCATGACCAAATGAAAAAAGTCAAATTAAGGGAATATATTTGTTTATTCCTTGCTAAATGACATTAAAGTCATTAATATACACTGCTGTTCAAAAGTTTGGGATCAGTAAGATTTTTAATGTGTTTTACAGAAGTCTCTTCTGTTCATCAAGGCTGCATTTATTTGACCAGAAATACAGAAAAAAACGTAATATTGTAAATTATTATTACCATTTAAAATAATGGTTTCCTATTTTAATATACTTTAAAATAGAATTTATTTCTGTGATGCAAAGCTGAATTTTCATCAGCCATTACTCCAGTATAAAGTGTCACATGATCCTTCAGAAATCATTCTAATATTTTATTATGAACGTTAGAAACAGGTGTGCTAATATTTTTTTGGAACCTGTGATACTTTTTTCAAGATTATTTGATGAATAAATTAAAAAAGAACAGTGTGTATTTAAAATGGAAATATTTTCTAACCATATAAGTCTTTATTATAACTTTTTATCAATTCAATACATCCTTGCTTAATAAAAGCATTCATTTCTTTCAAAAAGAAAAAGAAAATAAATAAATTACTGACCCCAGACTTTTGAACAATAGTGTATATTATTACAAAAGATTTCTATTTTGGATAAATGCTGTTCTTTTTAACTTTTTTAATCATTAAAGAATCCTGAAAAAAGAATCACAGGTTCCCAAATAATATTAAGCAACACAACTGTTTCCACTATTTAATCACAGGAATAAATTATATTTTAAAGTATATTCAAATAAAAAAAAACATTATTTTAAATTGTAATAATATTTAACAATATTACTGATTTTTCTGTATTTCTGATCAAATAAATGCAGCCTTGATGAGCAGGAAAGACTTCTTTAAAACACATTACAAATATTACTGATCCCAAACTTCTGTACACTGTAGAAAAAAAAATTTTTTTTTACGGAAAATAACTTTTTTTTTTTTTTTTTAGGTTGTTTTATTTTATTTTAAATTGTAGTCAAAACTCTGTAAAATTATCTCTAAATTAACTACTCGGCTGTTATTTTAAGTATTATGACATTAATGACAATTTGTTTTTATGACAAATTACATTTTTGAATACAGAAAAAATACTGTGTTTTTACAGTATTTTTTATGTTTTCTTAAATTACAAACAAATGTATGTAAAATTACAAAAATAATCTGTCATTAATACAATAACAAAACCATTAGATGATAAAACCATAAAATTTAAGTAAAATCTCCACTGTTATTTTACAGTTATTTCCTGAATTATGTTCAAACACCTTCACTGTAAAAATAAAAGATTAAAAAAAAAACGGTCAAATGACTGGCAGCACAGGGTGCCAAACAAAAACCTTAAAATTAAAGTAAAATCTCCTTATTTAATAAGTTTTTCCTCTGACTGCTGTTACTGTGTGTTTCTAAAGCACATTTATTATAACAAAACTTGTGAGAAAAAATCTGATCAGATGAAGCTGGTTACTTATTGATGATGATGATGCAATCATCATGTAGTGGCCTAATTAATAACTTTATTATTTTCAATAAAACATTAACATCTAAACCTCAGTTAATTCTCAATTAGAGGTTTTGTATGAAAGAAATAAAGTCAGGCTGGATTGTAATTAGTGAAGATGGTGAGATCTAGAGAGATCTGTTAGTGTTTAATGTTCTGTTGGGGTTTAAAGGGTTTCTGTTGTCTGAGTTTTGTGGGTCACCGTTGTGTAGAAGAGTAGAGTTTGTGCTTTAGTCCAAGAAAAGAACAGTTTAAAGGGTTTCTGTTGTCTGAGTTTTGTGGGTCACCATTGTGTAGAAGAGTAGAGTTTGTGCTTTAGTCCAAGAAAAGAACAAGAAACACTGATGCTTTATTTAAAGGCAGTAACTGTAGTTGCTGATGCAGTGATAGTTACATTGGCTCATGTGTGCTGTTGTTAGCTGGTTAACTGATAGAGATTTATATTTTACAGAGAATGTTTCACAATGATAATCCAAGAAATGCCTGTGTTTTTTTGCAAAATATTTAAGAAAAGTTAGCATATAAATTAGGATATTTTAGCTTAATTTTACTGTTTTTGTTTGGCAGATTCTTCTTGACTGTTTTTTAAAGCGATCTTTAACCATTATTTCCATTAAAGGGTTAGTTCACCCAAAAATGAAAATTAGGCTGTGCTTTACTCACCCTCGAAGCATCCTAGGTGTATATGACTTTCTTCTTTCAGACGAATCCAGTCAGAGTTATATTAAAAAGTGCCCTGGCTATTCTAAACTCTATCATTGCAGTCAGCGGGTGTTGCAGTTGAACAGTCCACAAGTCATCAAATAAAGCGCGCGGATTCATAATAAAACGTGCCGCAGATGGCTCCGGGGGATGAATAAAGGCC